AGCACACTCATATGCCCATCATCAACGCCATCATCATCAGCATCATGCTCATCATCGTCGTCAGCATTATTGCCTGTTGTTGTGCTTTGTCTCTCGCCCTGGCCCCCAAATGTCTCGCTCCCAGTGCTGGCTGACTGGCGATGTCGCAAATGCGCAACAATTCGTTCAAGTGTAAATAAAGCATAGAGCCGAGTCTGAAATCATGTCTGGGAGATAACGATGAAGATAGACTCTCCAGCTCTCCGTCTCTCTAGCTGTACACCTCTGTCTATGCCTTGGCGTCTGTGGCGTTAAAATGACAAAACACCTGCACCTGGACGAGGAGACGAAGGGACGTGCCGCTGTGTGTCTTTGTGTGTGTGTGTGTGTGTGTGTGTGTGTGTGTGTGTGTGTGTGTGTGTGTGTGTGTGTGTGTGTGTGTGTGTGGCGGGTTATCTTTTGTCATTTTTTATAGCAAGTGGCAGCTGGCGCCTCACACCTCCCCTCCACACTGCCCGCGCACTGCACCTGGCCGCACCTGCCCGCCCGCAGCTGCATTGTCTTTCCACTGTTTGTCGCGCACGTGCTCTAAGTGTAACTGTTAATATATTTGCCATTGGCCCAAGTGGCTACAGTCACGGCGCGACAGCCAAAAAAAAAATATATATATATATAAATGCTGCCCGACTTGCTATACTCTGTGTAGGAGGTGATATCTACGAATGTATATAAAGAAGTTAATATCTAGTCTCTCTCTATTGTCTTGCTTTTGCAGCTGATTCACATAAATAGACATAGAGCTTTCAATGATTGGCTTTGTTTATTTTAAAATTAATTAAAAAATTTTATAATCATTTTATATTAAAATAACAAAAAAGTAAAAAATAATAATTTTTTGTTTTTCTTTTAAGTTTTACGAGAAAAATATGCAATACGGTTTTATATATTTAATACAATTTTTTTTTAAATTATTTTTATTATTATTATTAATTTAAATTTTTTTTAATTTAAATTTAATTTAAATTTTATATATATATATATATATATATATATATATTTTTTTAATTTTAAATGATATAATGTCAAAGAAAAATGGATTAATTTAAATTAAGTTTAAACATGAATCATTTTATTTTTATTTGATTTTAATACAATCAACAATTTTTTAACATAATTTATTAAATGTTAATTATTAAAATTATTTATTCAAATTTTTAAAAATTAAATTTATTTAATTTATTTTTTAATTAAAATGATTAAACTCTAATTATAAAATATTAAAATTGGATCTGAGGTATTTGCAACGTTGAACATTATGCTATGAAATATTAATTAATATATTAATCGATACAAAGCATATACTATGTCTATGATTTACTCACAAATTCAATGCCACGGCTGAGGGATCATCATGAGATCATCTCAAATCGCGGTATCCCATAGTCGAGCATTCCCCAGCAGCAGCTACCGTGACTTGTTTTTGTCTAGCGCTCGTAGTGTGGCGCCAGCATCCAGTGCAGTTGTCAACTGTTGTCTGCCTCTCGCATAGCCGGTGGCAGCCTGGGCAGGGTGTAGGCCAACGTGTTGCCACGGCACTGAGATAATAAGTCTGGCGTAAATTAGTTTGCCATTTTGAGTTATGAATGCGCATTTCAACGGACTTTATGAGTGTGTGCGTGGGCGTTGCTGCAGTGTGCACTGGATCACAATGGATTAAAACTTGGCTGCGTATTACTTACGACCAACTCGCATCGCTGACAAACTTCGAGTGCTACAGATTGCCCGCACCCCGAGGCAGCAACAGTAGCAGCAGCAGCAGCAGCAGCAGCAGCGAAAAGCTCTTGGCAATATGTTGAAATTTACGCGTCTGCTGTGGATTTGGTTTGCTCAAATCGGATGTAAGCACGCCAAGGTATACTGCATGCTTAACACAGTAAGCTACTTAGGCGTTATTGTGAATGCTGAATTAATATCGCAAAGGGATATCAAGTAGAGAACACAATCTGGTCGCTATGGCAAATGATCTAAAGTCATATGCCTATATGCTTAGATCGTAAATTTCCTAGAATTTTAGATAAGATTACGTTTATACTGAAAGGTAGCCTTATATAGTTGTAGATTTATGTAAACGATTTATATATTGCTTCGATTGGGTTTTACCGACTAATGTACATATATATATATATATATATATATCATAATAGACATCAAAGTCTCTGCAGAGGAAAGCAACTGTTAACTACTTTGGAACAGCTCGAATAAGAGCTTAATGAAAGCATTTTTATATAATAAATAGAAAATATCATACAATTACCATTATTACCACATTACCCTTAAAAATTGTTGAAGAAAAAAAAAAAAATTATAATAATAATAATAATAATTGATAACAATTTATTTTCATAGAATGAAAACGAAGTCAATATTTTGACTTACTACTAAAAACTATACATCATATAGCAAGCTGATATTTCAGTATTATAAATTGTTTAAAAGTATTTTATTCATCTTAAGAATTCATAAATTAAATACACCTTCTGCAATCAAATTTAAAAATGCTGAAAAAAAAACAATATACATATATATATATATATATATATATATATTATTATTATAATAGGTATTATTATAATAGGTAAACTTTTTATAAATTGCTAATTTAACTGATTTGTCTGATTTAAGCAAGTATTTATGGTACCTTTATGTATTTCAAGAATTCATCACTTTATTGTACTATTGCATCCAAATATAATTACGAAAATGTATTTGAATTGCTTTTTAGCACTATAAACAAAATTTAATTCGACTAAAATTTATATTTTGCATTTCTTTAATTAGTTTCTAAATGCCCTATAGCACATCAAACTAATTAGGTTAATTAAATGTAGCTGAGTGAGCCATAAGATTTTGTTTTATTGATTGCATTAAATTTGCTAAAGATTATGGTGAACATGAATTTATTTATATGCTTGAATTAAACAGCTTATTTGGTTCATCAAAAATCAAACTAGAGCTAAACAAGGCAACTACAAGGCCGACCCAGACACACAGGAAGGCAGCATAATTAAACATATGATTGTTGGACAACACTAATATGCCCAATCATAAAACTAATCTACATGAAGATGGCTCATTAAAATAACGCATACGCCTCGTTGGCCGCTGTCAACAAGCCAACCAATGGTGATAACAACAGCAAGCAGAAGAATATGCCGAAGAATAGCAGAGCTGACAAATGTGCATGTGGACTGATAAATGTAGTTGACTCCTAAATGCGCTCTTCACTCACTGGTTTTTGCGGCCAGTCCTTGGTCTAACCGAGCAAATTAACATAAATGAATTTGCAGCTGTCGCTCGTAAAGTTATTACACCGTGCCAGACAAATGTGCCCAAGAACAAATCACACTGACCCAATAGTTAAGTCTGGCTCTGTCTCTGTCTGCGTGTGTATGTCAGTGTGTGTTCGTGTGTTGTGTCGACTGCCAGCTTGAATTAAAGATGAATGGAGAGTCGTGGAGCTGTAAACATGTGGCTTTAATAACGCCACATGAATCATTTATGCTATGCTAAATCCAAATACCAACAGCAGCAGCAGCAGCACCAGCAACGTCGAAGGTGCCAAGCATATTAAGTAATACGCAGCACGCTTCGAAATCCAGCCGCTACTTTAAGGACGAGGCACTAACCTACTACAACAAGCGACGCCTTAATAACAACAACACAAAACACAAACAAAAAATGACACATAAAAAGAAAGACGAAAAACTGTGTCAGCCGAAAAGTCCATACAGAGAGAGCAAGAGCGAGCGAGAGTGAGAGAGAGTGGATCATGCGCAATGCTCAATGGCATCCACAAACAATTCGAACTGCCTAACATTGACCAAGAAATCAAGCAGACGCCGAGCAACATGAAACATGCCACAGCCAAAGGACAGCCAGCAGCAGCATCCCGTCTTCAGTCGAACGGCATAGCTGTTACTGTGCACAACACACACACAACCTGGCTCGCGTCCCACGTTCTTTGCCCCAAACGCTTTCGTCAGAATACCAAAACGCGTAGATTCTGCGTGTGCCCCATACACCGGCTGCACTTTCTCGTAATCAAAATCAAAATCAAATCAAATTTTAATGCTCAATCAGGCGCGGCTAATTGCTGATCAAGCAGCATCAAAATCGAATTCGTTGAAATAAGAAAATAAATAGAATTTAATTTTTGCTCGTTGCGGCAGCTTTTGAAGTGGAAATTTACTGAGGCTCAAGAAAAATTTTGCTGGCCGAACTTGTTGCCAGATATATATTCATTTGAGCTGTCAGCAGGTGCAGCCTCCACAACCTAGGACACCAATTAGCACTCGGCTTGTGGCTGAGCAAAAGGCCAAAGAGCATAGAAACCAAAATTATAAGCAACAAATTGCAAAGTGCGGTTAAGTGAGAGAAAGGATAATGAAAATAAAGCAAAATTTCTGAAATAAAAAAAAGTGAAAAAAATAACTGCAAAAACTCAAAATAAAATTTTAAAAAATATTATTGATATAATAAAAATAATAACAAAAAAAATACAATTTCATTCAAAGGAGAAAAAAAATTATAAATAATGCATTAAATGTATAAAAAATTTTGCAAAACAATATACTCTTTAAATATAACGTTTAATTAGTAATAGAACAAAATTAATTATTCAAACAGATGCCAATGGAATCAAAATTTATGAATCAATACAAAATCAAAATTTAATGTGCGCTAAAAAAATCTCAAAGTAAAAATATCAATAATTAAAAAAATTCAAATATAATTGCCAACAAGTGAAGCAAATTAATCAAATCATAAGCCACATATGCTACATACATATATACATATTCAAATACATGTATATAAATATTAAAAAAGATATGCTTAAAAGACTTGTAACATAATCAAATTATTTGCAACTCTGACCTAATTGCCAAAAAAAAAAAAAAAAATTTATATATTAAAAAATGCATAATAAAATGTAAATGCATTTCATATAACCAATTGCACGTTCAAATAAATAAATAAATATATATACATATTTATGTGCTTTTCATATAAATTTTAAATATTTTCAAATCGATGGCATAAGTGTGTTCAAGTGCTGTTATCTGCACACATCTAACGGATGTGCGTGTGTGTGTACGCTTGTAAGTGTGTTGCCAATAATTGAGCATGCATTTAAACAAAAGCCATATATAAAAAAATAAATGATATATTAACGTAAATATTATGGAAAAATGCGCTCTTGAATGATTGAAGCTCATAAAACATTTATAGCTGCAACACGTTTCAAAGAGGAATACAACAAATGAAATGTCATATGAAGTTCATATGCTTCTTTGTGTGTGTGTGCTGCTAAATGCTTTAATTAAGAGTCAGCCATAACGAAAAAAAAAAATAAATAAACGGATCATTTGTGGATTATCAGTGGAAAATAGAACTGTAGCTGTGCTGCAAATGCGGGTAGGTTTATTGCACTTTATTATTATTATTACTTTTACATTTTTTCAATCAATTAAATACACAAAGTTGAGCTGCTGCCTTTGACAGTGCTGAGGCTTAAGCTGACTTATTATGAGTGCAGTGTACATTTTATACCAACGAATCAACTATTTGAGAAACCATTGTATAAATGAAGATGGGCGGATGATTTTAAATCTAATATGTAATTCTAACTAACATACCATCTTATCGTTATGGAGCTCATACTTGGATATGTTTACCTATTTCCATGTCAATAAAGAACCCAAGCGGTTGGGCTCTCGAATTTTGCAACACATTTAAAACATGAAGTATTTATTGATCACAATGCTTTAAATTCTTCCCTTTAAGATTGTCAAAGGAATATAATACATGCATATAATTTTATTTATTTATTTATTTATTATTATTATTATTATTATTATTATTATTATTTTAAATTTAGAATACTGTTACTTCTTATATTGTATAAAATATATAAAATGCAAAATTACACAAATCCAAACATTCTTTTTACAAAAGCTTAACTTCTTTCCCAATTTATTTTTGTAAGTTGACATTTTATATGCTGAAGTGCTAATTGAAACTTCTTAAGGAAAGCCAAAAATGTATATATATTTATATTATATTGGGTAGTCTAAAAAGTTTTTTCGTATTTTGCCAATAGATGTCGTTGGCGTCGTATATCTCCAGTGCTACCAATCACATTGTGTACACATTGTGGTGTTCGATTGGTAGCACTTTAAGCTTCGATTGCCAAAAAAAAAAAATGTAATTCAAAGAATTTGAAAAAAGTTACAGCTGTTCAAAAATGAGTGAAAATAAAGAAGAAATTCGCTATATTTTGAAATTTTTGTATAAAAAAGGGAAGAATGCCACGCAAGCCACTAATGAAATTTGTGATGTTTACGGTGACGATGCTCTATCAGTTCGTGTAGCACAACAATGGTTCGCACGCTTCCGTTCAGGAAATTTCGATGTGAAAGATGCACCTCGCTCTGGTCGACCAATCTTTGAAAAAGTCGATGAAATTATGGAAAGGATTGACCAAGACCGTCACATAAGCAGCCATGACATCGCAAATGAACTAAACATTCATCATCAAACGGTTCTGAACCATTTAGAAAAGGCTGGCTACAAAAAAAGCTCGATGTATGGATACCACATGAATTGTCTGTGAAAAATTTATTGGACAGAATTAACATTTGCGATTCTTTGCTGAAACGAAATGAAATCGAACCATTTCTGAAGAGAATGGTAACAGGAGACGAAAAATGGATCAAATACGACAATAATGTGCGAAAAAGATCATGGTGCAAGAGTGGTGAAGCTCAACAAATGGTCGCAAAGCCAGGATTGACGGCTCGAAAGGTAATGCTGTGTGTTTGGTGGGATTGGAAAGGAATAATCCACTATGAGCTGCTTCAGCCTGGTCAAACGATTGATTCGACACTTTACTGTGGACAACTGATGAGATTGAAGCAAGCAATCGAAAAAAAACGGCCAGAACTGATCAACAGAAAGGGCATCGTATTCCATCAGGACAACGCCAGACCACACACATCTTTGATGACCCGGCAAACACTGAGAGAGCTTGGCTGGGAAGTTTTAATGCATCCACCATATAGCCCTGACCTTGCACCTTCGGACTACCATTTATTTCGGTCAATGCAGAACTCCCTTAACGGAGTAAAGTTGGCTTCAAGAGAAGCCTGTGAAAATCACTTGAAGCAGTTTTTCAAAGAGAAACCACGAAAGTTTTACACGAATGGAATTATGTCTCTAGTGGAAAAATGGCAAAAGGTGGTCGACCAAAATGGTGCATATTTGATTTAATAAAGTTTATTATAAATATTTAAAAATATGATTTGAAGTTTCATTACAAATACGAAAAGACTTTTTAGACTAGATTTATATATGTTGTATTTATATTTCCTAATTAAAATAAATTGTTGCCGATTTTCGTCTTAGTCTCTTTGACGTATTTATCTCTAAGCCTTAGCTAACACGATTCCACCAAGCAACATAGCTTATTTGAATCTCTTCGAATTAACCTCTGAACAAGTTCAATCTGTTATTCCATACATAATATTCATATATACTCATACTCAACAAGTTGATAACCAATTCCGAATCTCTTTGCTGATATGCGAAAAAGCAATTAATAAATTAATAATTGCGCATAATAATGGACCTGGTTAATTGCAAATGAGTTTACGTTTAAACGCATATTAAATTATGCAATAGCAAAATATTTGAATGTTATATTGTGCGTAAGAACTGAAAGAAATGTACGCAGTTTCTGATTATGTTCAAATGTTAATTAATTGTTTTGCCTGTTCCTCGAATCTAATTAAGAATGTTCCCAATGCTCTATGTACAAAGAAAGAGGGACAGAGTTTTTCCGCATAAATTATTCATTGTTTGCTTAATGAGTTCGGCGTGTGCTAGACCACGTTGGGGCAGGCCAACAACAGCTAAAATGCTTTTTATGCTCCTGCTTCACACAAGAAAAAGAAAAAAAATTAAATTAATTGATTTCCAATAAAAAGCAAAAAACACAAAGTTGCAGAAACTCAGCGGAGCAATATAGAAATAATGTAAGGAAAACATATTTGACAACTTTTTGTTTGACCTCACTTTTTCTCTATTTTTTTTTTTTTTTTTTTTTCTCAGCGCTTTGTGTATTTTTGCAGCAATCTTGCTCTTGCTCTTGGCCCCCGAAATTTGCTGGCGAGTGTTGATTTTGAGACAATGTCAGCGCGTCGTCCTTATTGTTATTGCATGTAATTAATTTTGCTGGCGAGAGTTGGCGAGAGACAGCTATAATTAATTTAAATTAAGCATAAACTGTTTTGATATATAATACCAAAAACCCCGACCCCAAAAACAAAGCAAAGCTAATGCCTTTAGCCGTCGGCTATTTTGTTTTATATTAGGTTCCTTTCTCCCATTTTTTGCTGTTTTTTTTTTTTTTTTTTTTTTTTTTTTTTAGCACCACGTGGCGTATGCGTAATGTGTAATTGCCTGCGCTAGCCCTGAAGCAAAAGCTCATTTACATTAATTGTTGTCATGACAGCGTCGAGTAACGGAACCCAAAGGAAAATTCATCACAAACTCTCGTCAACTACTATTTACAAAGTAAGCATCAATGCGATTCCCTGTCTTTTGTGCTGAATCCGAGCAGTTGATAGATCGACTTGGGAGCGACACTGAATTGGATTTGTGCAGCAGCAGCTGCAGCTGAATTTCGATTTTATGGACTTGCAAATTATTTGCATAATGCAAATTAAATGCCTCAGCTTTTACGACATGTAGTATATGCAGACATATATGTAGTCTACAAATATATAGTTTAGATATATGTATGTATATTTATTGATTTCTAGACGTGGGCCCATCGGTGGCGCACTGATTGACATTGATGTATTGCCATGTGATGCATGTGTTATATAATATTTATGAGTGGCATGCGTATAGATAGCTACTCGAGCCGCGAGAGGCCCACTTCACAACTCGTGTGAGTTGTGCACAAGTTTCGCCAGCTGGCAAATGTGCTCAGTTGATAAATCATAAAATAGATTATGATTATTGCCGGGCTACGGGCGCCGTGTGCTGTGCACGCGCTCTTAATGTTCGCTGCTCCCAGTTTTCTCTTATTTTTTACATTTAGCCCAGTTAAATAAATTCTTTGGCCCGGCTTAGACCGATGCTGGCCGCAACGCAAATGCCAACGTGCTCGAGTGCTTGACAAATATGACGTGGCGTGGCTGGGGCATGCCGGAGGTAAGCCATGCAAAAGCAAATCCCACAGACGGCAGCTGCTACGTTCGACTGCCAGCTGCTACGGCAGCCGGGCCATAGCCATTACGTGGGCACCACAGCTATCTGTGGTTAGCTCTCCCTCTATCCCTCTGTGTGTGTGTGGGTGTGGATGTTTTTGTGCATAGCCTCCGCTGTGTGCATTTGCCTTGGCGTAAGCTGAAACCGAACGACGTAAACAATTTGTAAGTCATGTGTAAACATCATAAGTTACGCGCATTTTCTGTTCAAATTATAAGCACTTAATGTCCCAACAGGGACGCTCAGACCGAGCTCGAGGGTGGCAGCCGTGTTACGCGGCGTATACGCAATGTGCAAATGTTACGCATACGCCACGCAGCCGCGTAGCCGTACTGTCGTAAAATCAAACAAAGATAGACCAGCTGCTAATGCTGTCTGCCGTCTCTAGTTCATTCATGTTGTCGTTGTTGTTGCTGTTGTTGCTCGACTCCGTCTCTGTGGCACTAGTCGCTGCTTGTTAGTTAAACAGCAGCCAAGTAATTAGATTTTCCACATGAAGGCAACAGCTCAGACACAGTTACAAAGAGCAAGAGAGATGGCGACAGAGCAGCGGGCGTGCAAATAGTTTCAAGTGTAAACAAAGAGCTGGCTTAACACGCCCCGGCCACACCCACCTGGCAGCAACTACCAGCTACCGCCCATACAATTCAATTAAAAAGCAAACTCGCTGCGAAAACCTAATGCGTTTCATGCGTGAGGGGCAAGCAAATGGATTAGTGCTGTAGTTGCTGCGACCTGGCCACACTTATCCACCCACACACACACACACACACGCATTCACAGCCACATGCACATCCACTTGCTTTGTCTTGACTGCTCGGACCGCTGGCCATAAAGTTGAGCCATATGCCGGCTGACGCCAAATCGGCAAAACGCGCTTTGGGCCATTTTTGTTCGCTTCAGGCGCTGCTTGTCAGGCCGCCTGCCAAACTTATGGCTTATATTCCCATTGTTGACGCCGAAATGTGTGCAACTCTTGTTGTTGTTGTTGTTGTTATTGCAATGCCCATGTCGCTCCAGTTACGTGTGCGGCAAAAGTTGCCAGGCGAAAAAATTGATGTTAGCTGGCGGTGCGATGACAAACAGCAGGTGTATTGGCTTGAGATGAAGCTCATATGGAGAGTTGCTTTTATTTAGAG